CATGCTCCTTTAATTAAGTGACTAAGCTTGATCTTGACTCTATAAGTTTTCTACAGCTGTAGAGGTAACATTTTCCACTTGCTGCTGATTCTCCAGGACATCTTGAGGTGTATTCCCAGGATCTGCCACTGTAGGCTTCTTCCTCTTCTGAAACTAGTTTGAAGCTAATACTTCATATCTTGTTATTATGGAAAATTCCAGGCAATGTCTCATTGTTTTGCCTGGAAATGCCTTGATGAGCTTATCCGCTAAGGTGCTTTCTCGATTTGTAGATGCTAATGCAGAGTATGCCTTACTGTGCATATAGCACAAATCATCTATGTAAGAAGCTGGACTCTCAGTAACTTCTCTTTTGAGCCTTGAGCTCTGACCAATGGATTGTTTAATTTTCCACTGGGCTGAATCATCGGTGCAACTTGGCTATGACTGTATGCCAGTATTCCAGTTATGCCTAATTTAAGTGCTTGATGGTGTCCAAGGTTTCACCGTCCAATTTAAATAATAAGCATTGGACTATTTTTTTTTCTGATACCAGCCATTCCAAACAGTTGTCTGCTTGAAACACTTTAGAAAATGGTCCTTTGAATATTGAGAGCAAAATCTGCTTTGCTTCACTTAAAGGAAACTGTGTTTGTGGTCAAAGCCATTACCTTGCGAGTTCTCAGCCAATACTTGGCTGGGATGCTGCCAACATTGTGTGAAAGCCACAGTAGGCGTACTCAGGGACCTAAAGCCTCAGGTGAGTAGTTGGTCCCAGGTTCAAGGTGGTAGAGCAACGAGTTGTTCTTAGCATCTCATCAATAAGCTCTCGACTGTCCCATGGTTTGTGGTCCTCACCAGATAGTACCTACAGTCTCAGTAATGGGGGAAAAGAACTCTGATTTTCAGATTTTATCCACCAATCACACTTCCAGTTCCTCTCTTTCAGCCTTGAGTGGCATTCACCAGAGCTGGGGATGTGTTACTCTGTCTAGCAATGGCCTGGGAGTCCCATACATTGTTTCACCCAGTTTCAGACTCACCAGATACCATTCTATACCAGAAATTATGGCAATACACACAGTTGAAAAAGACAAAAAACTCCATAATAATATCCTGTGGTCATGGCATCAAAAGTTTATCCTTCATACCTACCTAATCTGTGATATTTTAAATTAAAACTGATTTCTCAAAAGAGAGTAAATTAGGTAGGCGTGGTAGTAATACTGAGTTCTGCTAAACCTAACTGAGTGTGGAGTAAGATATAAATGGACTTAACTCAGTGAGTAATAAACAATAAAATAATCTTTATCCAATCAACGAAACCAGCAATGCATGTACAGAACCTTTTGAAGATTGAGGAGTTGCCTTTACTGTAGAAGTGAATTGAATAGACTGGTTATAATTCCTCAAGATTTATTTTCAAGATCAATGACCTTCTCAATATGATGCTCCAAACTGACTAAACAGTTTGTTACTAATTGGTAAGGTCAGACTTATTCAGAACAACTAGTACAACCCAAAGTGGTTGGTCATTCCCATTCAAACCTAAGGAAAGTTGTGTGCTTAACTGTAGAAGTGGATTGAATAGACTGGTTATAATCCCTCAAGATTTATTTTCAAGATCAATCACCCTCTCAAGATGATGCTCCAAACAGACTAAACAGTTACTAATTGAATAGGTAAGGTCAGACTTATTCAGAACAACTAGTGCAACCCAAAGTGGCTGGTCATTTCCATTCAAACCTAAGGAAAGTTGTGCTCTTGGTATGTCACCTGACCTACTAATAGAATATTCTGTTGTCAAATATTATGCACAGTGTGCAGCTTTATAACCACAATTTCCATTAGCAGTGATGACTGAGGACCATGATATCTAAAATTAAATCAGCTTAATGACTTTCTTGACCACATGTTACAAGGATAAGTTAGCAAATTGGATAGAAGAGTGGCTGGATGGTAGAAAGTAGAGGGTTGTTACAAATGGAGTTCAGTCAAACTGCATTGATGTCACAATGAGGTACCTCAGGGCTCAGTCTTAGGACCTATGCTTTTATTTATTTACATTAATGACATAGATGAAGGAATAGTCAATAAATTACTTAAATTTGCAGATGGTATTAAGGTCTTGGGTGTTGCTAGCTGGGATGAGGATGCTGCTGATTTACAAAAGGATTTAGATCATTTAGTGAATTGGGCAAATAAATGGCAGATGGGTTTTAAATATAATTAATGCAAGATAATGCATGTTGGTTATCATAATTTGAATTATAAGTATAATTTAGATGGGAATAAACCTAACAATGTTATGAAGGAAAGGGATCGTGGTGTAATAGTCAATCAGTCTCTAAAGCCATCCAAGCAGTGTGCTGTTGCTAGTGATAAGGCAAATAGGATTTTAGGTTTTATCTACAGAAATATTGAATACAAGTCTAAAGAGGTTATAATTTCATTGTACAGGTCACTGGTTAGGCTACATTTAGAATATTGTGTTCAGTCTTGGACTCCTTACCTTAGGAAAGACACTGAATTGTTAGAAAGGATTACTAGAATGGTGCCTGGGATGGAGGGGTTGTCATAGGAGGAGAGGCTGAAATCTCTCAAATTGTTTTCTCTTGAAAAAAGCAGAGCTAGGGGGGATCTGAGTGAGGTGTTTAAATCTGTAAAGGGAATTGATACAGTGTTGATGCATCATCTTTTTTCATATTTAACAGTGAGGGATTCAGGGATACAAATATAAATTTTTGCAAGGTAGAGGTCATCTTGAGCTAAGACGTTTAATTTTTTTAACAGGGTGGTTGACCTCTGGAATGGGTTTCCTTTGGATGTTGTAGAGGTAGTAAATTTAAGTGAGTTTAAGAAAAAGCTTGATAAGTATATGAATGATAAGGGCTGGTTTTAAGATTTTTATTTAGTTTAGACGATGGAACAGCTGAGATGGACCAATAGGTCCATGTTGTCCCAAGACATTATATTCTGTTTTATGTTATGTGAAAAAAGCATATAAACCTGTAATTGAAAGTTAAAATTTTTATATTAAAAGAAGAGGGTAGAAAACTCATGGTATGCCTGCATATTATATATATATGAACTTTGTTGCATTTGTAAAGGTACACATAGTAGAACTTGGTAGATCATAGATGCTATTTTGATATTGTGTGAAACTGATAGATCTAATGTTTGTTCCACCAGGTATTCAATACAGTAGCAATAATATACGAGTGAACCTATTAGCTAAGTTATTTTTGTAGTGTTCTTCTTTCATTGGTGGGTTGTTTTAAATTATGTGGTGAAAATAATTCAATGTCCAATCCACATAATGATACTACGTTACTTTATTTCCTCCTTTAATGTTTCTACTAGCTTGAGTACTCGTACACTGTCTAAACCAGGGATTCTCAACTTTTCCTCCATCATTAACCCCCCTCCATTTACACCCTTACTTCCATACAAAAAATTCATAGCCATCATAAAGGGACAGAAAAACAAGAAGGTCAGAAAAAAAATATTATTCAGGTGTTGCACAAAATAGCAATATATATTCGTATCACCAAAAATAAAGAAAATAAAAACATTCTTTTCTAAAGAAAAAATTATAAAGTCCATTTTTATCACAAAAAATAAAACCAAACAAGAAACACCAGAAACATTATCAGTGGGAACACTGCTGATTCATTGAGTCAATCAGTTTGTTTATGCGAGGAGCTGTTGATGATAATGCTACTCTCATATCCTCATTGGCTTTCAGTCGATTCCTGGCCTTTGTCTTCATTGCTACTAAACCCCCTGCCATGTAATTTTTTACCCCCAAGGGGTAAATTTACCCCTGGTTGAGAATCACTGGTCTAAACTGTTGCAGGCCTATGTTGTTACAAATTATGTTAATAACATAAAACAAATAAACTTACTTGTATAAAGTAACACAATAAGTGTGATAGCAAACACAAACTAATAACGTCACGAAAACAAACTGACTGAATCAACCCTATCTCTCTCTCTCTACAAAAAAAAAAATAAAAAAAAATCTCTCCTTTACTGTTTCAAATCACTTTCTAACTAACGCCGTATTCATATTCTCTACTTTTTCTGGAACTTACTTCATCTTAACGTCTTACGCCCTCTCACTAACATCTGGTTAAACACAAATTATGACATTATGAATATAACTAATAACATTATTATAATTAAGTTATATTGAAATTTGGGCATTTTGTAGTTTTATTCCTATTAAAAATCATCACTTGAACTTATACTTTTCTTCTACCCTAGATTATTGTGTATTTACCAAATGAGCTATACATATTTTAATTACGCTATACTTATTGTGAATAAAGGAGTATGTTTGGCCGGAATTTTATATGTCCAGACATCACAGAATAGTAGTTTTGGTGAATAGTGTTATTATTTTCTTTTTTAATTGAACTTATTTATTGTTATTAATTGCTATTATGTTGATATGTCATTTGTATTTTATTTCTTTGTTCGAGATACGAATATATTTATTTAGCGGTAGGATTAGTAACAATCACGTTGGCAGATAATATATACTGTTTAGTATGATAATTTAAATGAGTTTAGAAAATCAGATGTAGAATATTATCTAATCAAGACTGTTTTTTAAACAGACTATGCCTCTATTCATCTCGTAACGGATTAAACAAAATGCCGATACAACCAGAGTCAAACAAGAACCTCATCTCACAATTTTAGGTAAAGAGAATGAACATTTTTTTACTGTGAAATGGTCATTCTCTATCTACGCAACAATGTGGTTTGCTTTGAAGAGTAAATGATTAAACTTGTGTGAAGTTGGATATCTCAATGAATTAACCCTTATTTTTTTATGCAATGTATGATTTATTGTGGAAGACGTAACTACAGTTTGTGTTCGCAATCAATATTTTTGTGGGTATAATATTCTCGTTACAGCGTTCTTACTTCTAAATTTAATCATGTACATATATATATGACGTCAACGTTATGTAACCTAGGTATTATAGGGCGAATCGAGGCACCTAGGGTGAAGTTTTCAAACATTTTGGAGCAGTGTCAGTTAAGGAATTAAGCAGAGATAGTCACTAAAGGCTTAATCCTATGTACGTTATCTCTCTTTTTTTAAAATGTCATCTGAAAAAAAAGGTACGTGAATATAATGATACCTATTCCATTTATAAAAATATATGATGTAATACATTACTATAGAAATAACAGAATATAGTATTATTAAGGGAAACAACTTGAAATTTCTGGCTATCAGAATCGTATGCGAAAGTTAGGCCTAACTTAACTTTTGAAGTTTAATGTTTGAAAATACAAATAAAAGTTCATTATTATCATAAATATTATTATCAGATTAGTTTCATATCACAGTATATTAAATTATTAAACTTAAACGCAACTTTTTAAGTTTAAAGTACCAATATTATTAATGATAATCTCACTCTACGGCCTACCGTCGTTTACCGTGTTTGTAAATTGTACAAGTAATTACAATTGAAATGTCAGACATTTTTTATATTTCTGACTAATGCTACAGTTTTTTATTGTTATTGTTAACTACTTAAAATATTACGGCATTATTATTATTACTCTAGTTTTAACTTATTTATCAACTGCGTAAGTTTTTAACTGTATTAGTTATGTAAATTATAAATGTTTTAATATTATTAATATTAATAAAATTAGAAGATTAAGAATAAAATAGGTGTAATAGTGTAGGTCTTAAGGGCTCATAGTTGATAAGTTGGAATAGATGCAAGCAGTGGGATTTATTGGGGAATGAAAGACTGGCATGTACTTTTAAGGAAGCTAGTAGTGAAGGTGTGCAATTTGTATACAGAAACTGCATGTTCAAGGAGAAATTTGAGGCTATTCTAAATAGAGGCAATACAGAGAGAGAAAGGTGAGCTGTGGGAAATGGCAGCAAGATTTCAAGAGGAACTTAATCTTTTTGCATGAGAAGGTTACAATAACTAATAATACCATCCGGGAAGTTAAAAACAGTACTAATAGGGCTAGAAATAGTGAATATAACTGTAATGAGCAGGTTCTGTTAAATAACAGATTAAAACCTTAAGCTTATGCAGATGAAAAACTAAGGGAAGGTAGGAAAACAAAAGGGATGGGTGGACAAAGAATGAAAAAACATAAGGAGGTTATAGTTGTAGGTGTTTCTTTCTGTGGTGCTAGTTTGAAGTTTGCATTTGGAAACACCAGTAACATGACACATTTGTCAAGGCACCACTTGATATTCACTTAGGTATGGACTGACACAATGGTAGATAAAACGCATACATTAGATTATACGTTCTGTGTGTATAAGTGGGCAGTAACATAGAATTATATTATGTAATCTTTGGTTGTGTAATCCAGTTCCATTTTGTGAATTTCTTTGGAGATTCCTACTTATGTACTCTCTTATGCTATTGGGATCAAATGAGATAATCATAAAGAAATAAATAAACATCAGTAGCTCATATGTCCATTACATTTTGCTTAAAACATCACTCTGATCAAATGAAAAGCCTGCTTATATAAATATTTTTTGTGCTAAATTGATCTGTGAGTTCTGTGAACCTAATCGTATTGAACAGTAAGCAAACATTATTGTTACACCTAATTAGAAGGTTAGCTAGTTGGATTTATGGGATCAATTCAATGAGAAAAGGGAGCATTTTGGATTGGATGGTTTACATTTAACTCTCTCACTATTGGCTCTGTCCCATGGACCAACCTCATAACCATTTTGTGCTTGTTATAGTTTTTATACAATAACTTTTAGTACAGTATGCGCATCTTCACAAAATTTTGCAGATTATCAGCACACATTACAAGGCTTTTGTGTATAAAATATCAGGTTTTTTATTAAGTTTTAAGATTTTTAAGCAGTTATTTGCTTGTGCATTTTTACTTTTTGAATGTTGACTAAATAGCTTAAATCTCATAAAACTATATATATTTATTATTTTTATGTTATTGACCTTTCAGCATTACAGAAGTTGCAATGACATGGCACAGTTGCACTCATGTTACCATATCCAATAATATAGAGCTGGTCTTTACAAAGTGACTTGTTTTGGATTTGTAAAATACAATTACATTTCAGTTATAATACATTACATATGTATGTATATATATATCATTACTATTTACAAATAATTTTTCAAATTTCTGTTATTTTTCTTAAAACATAAAGCAGTAAATAAAAAAGTATAGAAAACAAAGATTCCTTCTACTTACTAACATTGTACTTGTTTGCCACTTACCATAAGTTGCTAAGCTTTGTCAACTTTCACATGCGGAGGATGCAGAACAAAATAATTTTTTTAGGTTTTATATATGCATTTTGAAATAACAAAAAATTATAAATTACTACATTAATACCAAAGAAATCCACCATAATTTGTCAGGCTTAGTATTTAAGCTGTATTTGGGTCTAAAAAAAATATATTTCAAACAACATTTTCACTTACCCCTTCCTTCAATGTTAAGGCACAAAAGAAATAATCTGGGGAACTTTCCAACTCCAAGAGTGTGAAAATCATGTGTGGGAAATTCTGAGCTTTTGATTGGTTATAAAGCCATAAGAGAGCAAAGTGGGTGTATGTAAGGAAGTATTTCCAAAAATGGAAAAAGTAGGTGGGGCCACTTTGATTCACAGAATATTGTGATATAGTGTACTGAAAGTTTTGATATAGTCATACACTACCTCTAGCTATTACTGAAAGTCTTGATATAGTCATTAGAAATAGAAATGATAGGAGGTTCTTATTTTATATTCTAGCTTGTCAATATCAGAAATTTGAATTTTTAATATTTATGAACCTATAGGCTTTGTATTTGGACATCACAAACAAAGCTTCACTGAACATATCACGTGACATAAAAATATTTATTTAGGAATTTTTTAAATATTTACTTTTAAATTAAGAAATTAACTAATGTATAATACTAAAATTTGATACCAAACTTGATGATATACATTCGTAAAATAGTAGTTCAATAAAATTGTGAATGTAAATCTATAAACAAGATGGTATGCTCTTTGACCTCTGAGCATAGGAAGACCCACAGTGAGAAGGTTAAATAGAATAGTGGTGGCTTGTTTCCAAGGGCTATTAACTCAGCTGTAAGAGCAACCTTAAACTAGGACTAGGCAGTGGTGAGGTATTTTAGGCCTGTATGATTTTATGCAAAAAAATCCAAGAATTTTTTTCACCAACCTTTTTTTCTACAGATAATTTTATGGAAATAGTTCACTACACTACGCTTTGTGTCTCAATCTTACAAATGATTGAAATACTGTATTTAAAAAATGTGTAAGTAGTAAGTGTCTAAGGTGCACTGATAATTTTTTGAGAGGAAAATAGTGGAGAAACGTTGTTCTGATATGTTCCCAGTGACTCAAACAAAGAAAACAAAAGTTTATAGTGAGCAGAAGTTTAGGCATGAGTATTCAAAAAAGTTCAGTGATATTACATCCTCTTCAAAGGGTATGAGTGATTTCTTCATTGCTCATGGAGGTGAAAATGATATCAAAAAACATCTCAACACTACTAAACACTGGCAAAACTGTTTAAGAGCATCTGGAATTAATAAGCTGGACTCATGTTTTGTAAAACCCAATATTAAACCAGAAAATGATGTGATAGAGTGGAATGTTTATTCACCTCCATCATTGTGGAACACAATCTTCCTTTTGTGGTTTTGGACCATGCTTCAAAAATGTTTACCAAAATGTTTCTGGATTTGGAAATTGCTAAAAGATACAGATGCTCTAGAACCAAAACCTCTGCAATTTTTGGAAAAATGACCAGCAGTGCAACTGAGTGAATTGTGAGTAACATTAAAACTAGGGCTTTTAACTTGTCCACTGATGGCAGTAATGACAATGACAGTAAACTGTACTCTATTGTAGTGATATACTTTGATGACAACAAGGAAAAGGTAGTAAATACATTACTCTCTAATTCCAATTTAATTGGAAAATCAACTGGTGAGAATATTGCAGGACTTTTTCAAAGAAGAACTAGCTTCAAAGTTCTTAAATTGGGAAAATTGTGTATCATCACAAATGTGATGATAGGGAGAAAAAGGAGTTGCAGGTTATCTTCAGAAACTTAATCCTGAAATTGAATAAATATAGTTGTTTAAACATTTGTTTAACAACAAGTAAAAGCTTGGAATGGTCTATTCTTT